CTACTCCGCGTACTAAAGTTGCACTACAAAGTCGCCAGTTCTCAGCTACCAGCTCCACAGATTTCTCCGCGTACTAAAGTTGTACTAGAAAGTCGCCAGTTCTCAGCTTCCAGCTCCACAGATTGCCTTCGCGCGCTCCACACGCACGATCTCCGCAGAGGGTTGCGCGCGGACCGCACCAATCGCACTCTCGCCTGCATTTCGCGCACTCGACACGCTCGATCTCCGCAGAGGGTTGCGCGGTAATTTTACAAATCGCACTCTCGCCTGCATTTCGCGCACTCGACACGCACGATCTCCGCAGAGGGTTGCGCGGGCACCCGGCAAATCGCACTCTCGCCTGCATTTCGCGCACTCGACACGCACGATCTCCGCAGAGGGTCGCGCGGGCACCCGGCACATCGCACTCTCGCCTGCATTTCGCGCACTCGACACACACGATCTCCGCAGAGGGTTGCGCGCGCAGCCGGCAAATCGCACTCTCGCCTGCATTTCGCGCACTCGACACGCACGATCTCCGCAGAGGGTTGCGCGCGGACCGGACAAATCGCACTCTCGCCTGCATTTCGCGCACTCGACACGCACGATCTCCGCAGAGGGTTGCGCGGGCAGCCGGCAAATCGCACTCTCGCCTGTATTTCGCGCACTCGACACGCACGATCTCCGCAGAGGGTTGCACTTTCGGTTGACGCTGTTCGTCCCGCCCTCCGCCTTTAAGACAGAACTTATAAAGTGGGGAAGTGTTTTTCATTAGGACATCTCCCGTGCTAGTTTTCCATACTCACACTTGCCTACTCATTGCATGCTTGCATGCTCAAAGCATGCTTGCGCACCCATCACTTGTATACTTACACTGCGTGCTTACCGCGTGTCAGTGTGTATGTGTAAGTGTCAATGTCGAAGTGTCAGTGTATGTAGTGCGACTGTAGTGGAAGTGTCAGTGTGTAAGCGTAAGTGTCGAAGTGTCAGTGTTCAAAGGATTTTCCGGAAGAACCCTTCGCAATGCTTTCGGGATAAAGGTCGCCTTTTCCTCCTTGAGACTTCCTGGAGTGCGGTCGCCGGACGGCGGACGGTTGGGGGATGCTGACTCAGGTCTTTGCCGCTTGGAAGGCCTTGGAGATGGCGAAGCCCCGAAGCTGCCGCTGGGATCGATTCCTTAGTTTATCATGTTTATTATCATATCAATTTTGCTGCCTTGGTTTAATGAGAAAACCTGAGATCGATCTGTTTTCTCATGTTTTCGAACTCCAATTTGGGATCCAAAAGGGTCTAAGACACAGCAACATGATCCGAATGCCATTTTGGTGGACAATGGTGGACCTCTAAACCAGTCAGTCGACCTGAATGGACTGGTTTAGACTGGTAGGCTTTTTGACTTTAGTCACTTGGGGATCTCTTCCCTGCCATCCAGTTATTTTTTGGTTAGCCCGCTCCCCCTCCTCCCTACCAGCGTCCTTGCTACTAGTAATTATGGCCTCCAACCTAAGAGCGATGGCCTCCAACCTAATAGCAATGTTTTTCTTTGTGTTTCCCGAACAACAACTGGAAGATTCCTCCAATTGATGCTCTGTTGTCCTCAGGTCATGTCCACTTGCGGCGCCGGAAGCAGTCGGGCACCTGGCCATCCGACGTCTCCTTGCCGCTGCGGCGGGCGTTGGCCACGCAGCTGGAGGAGACCTTCGGCTGGACGCCCGAAGTGGTGCGCAGCGAGGCGGAGATGGAGCTGCAGGCGGTGCGTTGGTCGGTGCCATCGGGGGGGAGGGCGATGAGCGCACATGGAAGAGCACTTTTGATAGTTGGTGTAACGAAGCATGAAAGCAGCTCTTAAGATGCCGGTCGATGGTTCGATGATGGGCGGCCCAGAGCATTGTTCCGCTGATTTTGTTTCTCCAACAGTTCCCAGATCATTTTGGGAACTGTGGCATGGGAACCGAGGAAAAGGCCCACGTCACCAGAAGTTCAGCTGTCGTTTCAGACGCATGATATGACCTTCAACGGAGAGAGCTATGGTCCGGATCAGCTCATTATGCGACTGGAACAGGTTATAGTTTTGGTCACCAGGCGAGCCATCGTGAGCCAGCTTGGTCCGGCTCGGGAGGGGATGGGGGCTGACCATGCGAAACATCAGGGTTTCAGGGTTGAGAGATTCTTTCCATCTCACATGAGGGCTTGTTCCATCGTTTTTTCACTTCGCATGGTGTAGCTTCGACCGTTCCTTTCCTTGGCTTCTTGACGTTACTAGCCGAACATCAAAGACCTAGTAGCGTCCTTGCTCCGATTCGATCGGGGAGTGTGGGCTAAGTTTCGATGCCAGAGGTCGTCTTGGGCGAGGACGGCCGGATCTTGGTGGAGATCCCCCTGCTGGTGCGGCACAGCGGAGCGTCGCAGCGGTGTTTTGACCAAGGGGTCTTGACCAAGGGGAGAACAGGGGAGAACACTGTATCATACTGTATCTGCTATGGGATTCCATGGGTCTGTTTTTCATGCCAAATTTACACCGGCTTCCACCAATGGATGTTGATCAAGGGTGCTTTTGGATCCCCTTTTGCCTCTGTGCAGTGTTTGACGGGCCCCAACCCAGGAGCCCTGATGGCAACTTTTGGGTTGCTGGTTGGTCCTCCTTGTTGAGGACATTCCACATAACAGCACCCATATTATGGAGATGCTATTATAATTTTAGTATATAGATGTTTTAACATCCTCAACCGTCAGCATTCTTTGGAGAACTACTTGCACTTAGCCTTTTCAGTGAGGATGTAGGTATTGAAGGCGTCAAAGAAGGCACCTGCGCACAGGACACACCATTCTGTGACCACCGTGTCCATACATTTGTAGATACATGCACAATTCATGGATTTTCAACACCGTACCCTCAAGACGTTTGGAAAGGAGTGATTAATAGTTATGAAACGTCCTTAAGAGGGTGAATTTGTCATGGACAACTGGTGATGGTGATGAGAGTTGCCAGGGATCCTTCGGCTCCTCAAAACCCATCCCAACATCTCCCAACCACTTCGATTCGCTCGACGCTCTGCAGGTGCAGACCCGAGGGTTGTCGGGTGGGCTGCCATTTCCGGGCATGAAGCAAGTTGAAGCCTGGGTGCTGGCCAAAGCATTGCAGCTGCAACCGGGGGAGGTGGCGGGATCGACGTTGTCGTGGAGATTTTGGGTTTCCGCGGATCAATTTTGGACTCGGTGATGGATTCGCGGATGGTTTCGGAGGTTCTGCAGACGATCGGGGGGGCGGATCGGTTTTGGGTTTGTTCAGGAAACACGGATTCAAAAGGATGTAGGAGATTTCCAGGATTAAATGATTCCACGTGAACGTTGTGTCTGTCAGAGCTGATTTATTTGGGACATGTAGCACTTGACATTCATTGACTGTGAAGCTTCCAGGTAGGCCAAGCCTCCACGTACGTCGCCACAGACACCACATACGTCGCGACCGGTGCGCTTGTCCCCTCGCCCGGACCAGGTGGTGCTGGATCCGATGTGTGGCAAAGGCACCTTGCTGTGTGAAGCAGCCATTTGGTGGCCTGAGGCCTCCTTTATTGGCTGTGATGCTTGGTCCAACCGGCAGGAACTGAACGGACAGGTTCGGCGACCGGGCATGGTGAGGCTTGGTGCGGCATGGTGATTTTCAAACGTGTTGCGACCGGGTGGTAGATGCCGGTCCAATACCTCCGGTCCAGGCTGCCGTTGGTGAATTCATTCCTACTACTAGCGTCGGAACGCTCCGTTCGTAGCGATGCCCTTTGTTACCAGTAGCTTCTTCTAGTGGCGAGATTGGCCATCCCAAGTCGTTGGTCTGGCGGGTCCCGCATTACATGGTTTTCGAAACCGTCGGTCAAGAGCCCCTGCTTAGGACGTTGAGGCGCAACAGCTGGAGAAATGCCTTGCCAACCATCGCTATCTGGGCCTGACAGAGCTTGTGGTGCATCAAGCGGATGCTGCAACATTAGGTACCCTGCTGGATGACTGTGGTATATACTGGGTCTTTTTGGTTTGACAAAGGTGTTTTTGGTTTGACATGGTACTCTTGGTTGGCTCGACGAACTCACAGTTGAAGTGACCACAGCAAGACACTCCAATCGTTTTCAGGTATGAATCCAATATGTACATATATATATATAATTCATTGCTTCGAACTTCGACAGCACAAAGGGCTGGGCGACCAGACTGGAAAAAACCCTTCTGGGCCAGTACTAAGGGTGTCGCAGTACATCCGTTTTTTTCCACATACTTCACCACTGCTAAGGTGCTTGGGGTACCGACCTTGCAGACTCCTTCTCATTGACCTGGACAAGGGATATAGACCTAGTTCCCAGGTCCTTGCTCATGGCAGCTATCGATACAAATGACTTCCCCAACGGCAGGCCGAAATGGCAGCCTTCGTAGAGGCCACTGGTTGAACATCTTGAAGCTGATGGACTTGGTTGCCAATGCTCCACCATGCTTCACCAAGCCATAGCTATAGCTCCACATGCAAACCGCTGAAAAACGGCCGTTTTCCAGGCGGTTTGCCCATCGCTGACTCCTCGGTGGACAAGCTGATGTGCGCTCCTCCCTGGGATCGACAATTTGAGGCAGCTGGAGGATTAGAGAACTTCTATCCCAAGATGCTGGAGGCTGGATCTGACCTGAGTTGGGATAGATTTTTTCATCCAAGATTGACTCCAAGATCGACTCCTCAGATCAGTTGGATGTGTTTGAAAACCCCAAATCACCTGGGAAAAAATTGCAACTCTGCCCTTCTGGGAGGTGTGACTACTACAGACCTGGCCATACGTCGCAATCATCTGGGTCCAGCTGCCGTTGGCGGCCCAAAACCCTTTGTTTGGCTTTGCTTTTGACTTAGAAAAGAACCATTAGAAGGAAAGACACAAACCACCCACCCACCACCCTTTGAATTAATGATATATTAAGTATTATACTGTAGCAAATGTATGCACATATTAACTAGCTGTCAGTTTTCCCTTTTATTCTTTTTTTTTTTTTTTCGATTTCATGTCCTCATTCTTGTGCTCCTTTGTGCGGAAACAGTCAGCCGTTCATTGATTGACAGACTTTGGAAAGGCAGTCGTTGGACAAATGATGGGGAACCAAGGTGGAGAAGAATAGAAGACGTGCACCAGAACCAAATAAGCTACTGTATATAGTGTCGACGTAGGACTAATAGTAGGATTAATAAACGGGGACCCCCACCCCCTTCAAGGTCAACAAGGTCAACAAGGTCTGAGATCGGAGGTATTTGAGGACCACATCCCCTTAATAAAGATGATGAGCTGATGATGGATGATGAGATGATGACCTGGACCTGATGATGGATGATGGTTGATGGGATTCTGTGCCATGAGAAGCCATCAAAAGGATTGGTGAGCAGGATGAGGCGGCTGAGAGGTGGTGGTGAGAATCAGGAAGATGAGGAGATGCAGATCTTGAATTCTAGCAAAAAAAGAACATAAAAACGCATTATAATTACAATAGTAAACTATATATTTTCTGGGGCAGCTGGGATTGATTAATAGGGGGAGGTTTCTGCCTAGGAAAAACACATTAGGGTGATGCCAAAGTAGAAATCTAGGTTTTACATGAGTTTAGTATTGGGGGGGTTGAGCTGGGATTGATTAATAGGGGGTGGTTACTTAATCCTATGTCAACATTGAACAGTACATTCATTTCCATTCGCTGGAAATGATCACGGTACCAAATGAGCCGTGTGCCGTTGCCCTCCTTCCGATCAGATGATCGATGCGTAAATGAAGGTGCTTGTGCAGCCCAACTTGCAAGAGAACAGTTCTGTCAACACTCAACCCACGATGCCATCGGCGCTGGACCCCTCTTCGAGCCACCCCTCACGTCCCGCCGAGTCCTCGCGGCGAGTTCTGGCGGGACCTCGCCAGGAGTTCTCGCGCGTGTTGCGGAGCAATGGCACCATGGCCTTCCTGCACCTGGGCAGAGAACGGGGGTTTCGGCTTGCTTGGAAAGAGCCGAGGTGGTTAGGTAGGTGCTGGTAGTCGTGTTCAAGCTGAGGATCCATAGGTTTCTCTAGTATCATGATAGGGGTCGTTTGTGTTGGTTATGTCGAAGGCTGCCATGATACACCATGATACACCTGGAAAATTCTGGTCCGCCTCAGGTTGAATTTGCCGGCAGAGGAGGCTCTGAAAGCTTCTCTGGCGGGCTGGCGGACATGTCGATGTCCCTTCGCTCTCACGCACCACACAGTGGGAGTGCTGCTGTTAGCCTGGAAGGTGTGGATCTTGCCGTGCGCGGCTCGCAGCGGTCGTGGAACGGGTTGGATGAGGTGACTGTCGATACGGGGGTGGAAGATGGGTGCGTTTGGACCATGGGATGCAAGGTGGGATCCATTTTGTTCGCCGGCTCAGATGCCCCACGCACCGAGGTTCACCGCTGTCAAATCCTCCAATCCATTCCAAATCCCATCCTTTCGCTGGGCTCTTCAGCGATCGGAGCCTCCCCGGAGAGGTTGGCGATCGGAGCCTCGACTGGTGCGGACCGCGCTCCGCGCGGTGCTCCCCGCCACGCCGTGCTTGGAAGACCTGGCGGGCGAAGGAGCGGCCACCCCTCAAGCGGTGGAGGAAAAAAGTGCTTCCCAGGAATGGAAGGCACATGGAAACACCGAGCGTTTTGGATGTTGCAGATGGAAAAGGGCCATGAATGAACAGGGTCATGAAGCATTTTCGCAAGCTCCCAGGTGTTGTGTGCTCCAATGGGGGGGCAAGAGACTGGTGCTCATGTGTTCGAGTTCATGAGCCCCAAAGCACCAGCAACACTGTTGACACATGCTCTGTCCTTGTTGACGGCAGAACTGGCAATTTCGCTTGAGCCCAAAGTGGTCCATCTGAAGCAATGAACACATCATACCTTGTCAGAGGTGTACAGACCTAGAACATCCTAGAACCCAGACATGACCCCTGTCTTGAAAGAATGAACACCATCCAGAGACTCTTGTTGATCCCAGTCACTCGGTTCCTCGGGCGGATTCCTCCCGAGGTGCTTAGGCCGAGGAACGCGGCCTGCGACGGCGACCCAAAGCGGACGGGCGGAAGAAAAAGGAAGCGGGAAGCGACGGAGGTCGGGTGTCGTGACGCGGCGTTGTCATGGAGCGAAAGCTCGGGCAAATGAGCTTTACATCTAGGTGTGTGTGGTATATAAGGTGCCAAAGGATGATCAGGAGACCGGGATTTGTCTGGAAGATCCATTTCTGTTCCTCGAAAAAACCTGATGCCCATGATTCCCTTTTTCCTCTCGGAAACCGAGAGATGGGCCATGATGGGACAGGATATTCACACATTTGCATGGATCGAGGCATGCAAATGGGGTAGTTCTGGATGCCCCGATGCGCACCCCGAGGCCGGCACGTTTGAACCTGCGGCCTAAGCCTCATGTGCTGTCAGGCACGATTGTTTGAACCAGCGCTCAAGGGTCCTAACATATTTATATATAATATATAGTGTTTGGTTTCAATTTCCATTTCCAGTCATGCTCAGTACGGTTCGGTAGTCTTGGGTTCTTCAGGCAAACATCTTGGGTGGGGCAATTTGTCTGGAATCTTGGCAGCTATTGAAACAACAACTCTAAAGCATGAGTACCCTCCCACAAACTAACATGGAAGCTGAGAATGGACCGGTGGAACACCATGTTTCTCTGCAACCCGACGTGGTTTTGGGGTTCCATGTGAATCTGCGGGGGAGTAGCTGTGTCATCTAAATGTGGGGTTCTTTTCATGACCACCTAAGGCGAACCGTTGCCGACGCGGTCGTTGGTGACCTCTTCGCAGGTTGAATTTTACAGGTCCCCAGGTAGATAGAAACACCTTGCGTTCGACGGTTTGTTTTGAAAGACACATGCTTCTAACGGTCTATGTTGGTGTAATGGAAGCGGTTTGCTGTGCTGCTTAGAGTTCGTTTTTAGTACCACGGCCATTGTGGCCTGCCTAACACCTGCCAAAGACTGCCGCGCAGGCAGAGCCTGAAAAGGCCAGGTCCGCCAGCAGGCGATCATCGCTGGGAACAGCTTGTCCTGCCCGGTCAGTTGCTTAGTAGGACCAGAAAGAGTGCTTTTGATGTTGTCCTGTCTCCAAAGTGCCTAAAGCGCCCATATATATATGTATATGGATCTATTCAGAAAGTTGCTTTTTCTCAATCAGAGTAACCGTTTCGGAGCAGTCAATTGTCAAAGGGATGGGGATACATTCCAGGACAAGACAGGATTTGGAGGCAGAATACAAGAGGCTCAATTAGATCGCATTGTAACGGCTCAAATCTATGTAGTAGTTTCCTTGGGCGCTGGCTTAAAAAGTTAGATTCGACAGCCTGGTGTGCAATCTTCCTCCATATTCCTCCTTTTCATGAGCTTGAATTTGAATGTACTGTACACTTTCTTGGACATTCCTCCAGCAGGCAGAGGACTCAGATTCGGGTTCTATCTGGTTTCGGCAGGACTGAAAACGCTTGAATGCAAATAACTTGCCCTAATCTTCGCATAGGTGAGAGAAAGGATTATGGCATATCATAGCGCTAAGGTTCTGTGGAAAAAGCATCACTTTCCATATGACTGGCATCACCTCCCAATGCCCACCAGCTTCCCAAAGTGCTTCGGACCTGTTTGGGGTTTGGTGTCGGACCTGTGGACTCCCCAGGGGTAAGGCCCAAGGATTCCTTCGGGTTGAAGATTTGTTGCACCGGTTTCGTGCACCCAGCAGGGTCCAGGGTCAGCCTCTCCGATTCTATGGGACCCGGTGTTTCTTTCGTGTTCACCGCGACAAAGCGCGCCGGAGCTGAAGACCAGCGCAGTTGGGGAGAGCAGGCCATAGTCCTAGAAACAATGTGAAGCAAGGCACGGGTTGGGGTTGAGAGGACATTTCTGGCGTGCATTCCTTTGTTTTTATTTGGCAGAAGAGTCTTTCCTAAACGAGCCCATATACTTGCTTACCAAGAACCACTGCCTTCTGCGGTGTGTTGAGGACTTCACCAGTCGGCCCACTGATTCACCTGCCTTCTGGCAGGCTCTGCAGCTTCGCTGCGCAAAAAAAGGGAGATGAACAGCGTCTCCGGAAAAAAGAACAGCGTGATGGGAGGCAGCGAACGAAAGAGAGCAAGGTGTACCGGATCCAATCGGATCCAATTGGTTTTCCAGGGTCTTCCAGCGGGTTTTGCCTGGCATGCCTGGTCCCCTGTGGGACCGGACGTTGTTCCGTTGTTCGGAAGTAAAACGACCAAAGACACGAACGGGTTGAAAACTGGGAGACGTTGCTCGAACGGCGTGATGCAGGGAACCCAGATTCCGCGGCGCAGGGTCCTTGCTGCTTCTTCTGGCCGATTCGGAACAGCATGTGGAAAAATGGTGTTTCTATGTCCATACTCTTCCACGCTTTTTGTCAGGCATGTTCTGCTAGAAACAACTAGCATGACGAGTTCATGTCCTGCTTTTTTTTCCAGGCGACTTTTTCTCCGTTCAGTCTCCCGTTCCCACGCTGTCAATGTCCGCGACCTTTGTGGCTCAGCGTTTGGAACGAACGCCGATGAAGAGCGAGGCGGATCCCTGGGCTGCAAGTAGAACATGCCGCCAAAAGCCAAGAAAGTGCAGATTCTGTCTCAACAACTCTCAGTGATGTTTGTACGAATATTATTCTCAACCAGATCCTGCGCAACAAGCAGTCGAACAATCTGAATCTGTATGATAATTGATCTCAGGATGTTTGCTGTTAGATGCGTCTGGCATCAAGCCGGACTGTCATCACAACCAGTACGCACAAAGACTTTCTTTTTCTGGTTGATCTACTGTAGATTGCAGCCCATGTTGGCTACCCATGGTTGAAGAAGCATGGAAACTGAATGGGATTGGCAGAGAAGGAAGGTAAGTCATTTTCCTTTATCATGGCCTGCTCTACCACCATTCTGGGCAGAGTAGGAGCTGCAACACTGTTGAGAGAGCCCACACGCCCAAGGATAAGGCTCAACAATCCAGTCACAGTGTGCGCCCCGCCAAAAAACAAGACCATTCAGCCACCACCAGAGGCTCTTGGGGCCTTGACTTAATCACTTCTTCGGAAAACGACCGGGTCTCCCCTCTGATTCGTCAGCTGCTCCATGGCTCTCATCTGCTCTCCGCTCTCGCCAGGCCCGGAAATATGGCAGCTGGGGCAAGGGCCCTGATGTGCCACCTCCGCCAAGGGTGGAGTTGTTGGCCCGGGTGCCCGGCCGTTGCACGCCGCGTGGCCGTTCGTGGCCGGTCAGGTGCGATGTTTCTGTTCGGCAGTGCCACACAGCAGGGGCACAAGGTGCCTCGGGTGGTTCGAATGAGCCCAAATTCCAAGTGAATTCCCAGAACAACCAGCTGTTCAGGTGAACTTCAGCATTTCAGGACCAGCTGCTTGGTCCGTGACTGAGGTTGAGCCCGCCAACACAATCTTCTTGAGGAAGATCAAGTGGGAGGCGTGGGTTTTGGAGGGATTTTGGAGGGGTTTTGAGAGGAAGGTCCGATTCGAGGACGGACTCCGGACACAACTAAAATCTCGGAGCATGATTCTGGTGGTGATTCGAGCGACTCCGCTGGGGCAGAGTCATGTCTTTTTTGGGGAGGGGGATTGGTGTCTGAAAAGGGGACGGGGGGTGCCAACTCTAGGGTCGGTGGTTCAAGACTGTTCACCTCGGGATGCCACCGGGGGATCACACACACAGCTCAAAAGCGATCCTCGACGGCGGCGTCAATGGTCCCGAACATCCGCTGGGTCCATGTCCGTCTTGGTGAAAGAAAAGGCTTTGAAGTTGGAGGGCTGTGAGTCTCTCTAAGCCCAAAGGATTTTGGGGTGCCTTCTGAACATGGCGATGGGTGAAAACCTGGACCAAAAAAGAACCCTGTGATCTCCGCACGGTCCGGGCCGTCTGCTGTAGATTCGTCTCGAATTAGATGCGTTGTTTCACATGACAAATTGAGGATTTTCCAATTCAAAAGGTATTGTATCATCAAGAGTCCACCGGTCTGGGACGTTTCCATTCAGGTCCAGAGTCGAGGCAACGCGCCGTTCGCCATCGAGCGCTGGCTGGCCAGCATGCCCTCGTCCCGGAGCTCGGTTTTTCTCGGTTGCGGCTTCACATGCGTTGGTGGAGAGGGAGAATCCTAGAAAAGTCATCTCCTGCCCACGAAATCCATGAAATTATATGAAATTCATGAAAGTCATTAAATAGCTGATAGAAGGACATAGGGGTCCTTGGACACACCCCAAACCATGGTGGACGAACAGCATACTACACCGAAATCGCTCACTTGCAGAGAACAGTAAACATGGCTAGAACCAGAAGCATGGTCTTTCGCTCATCCACAAATCTTTTCCAAGCGATTCCGAACTTGCTGAAATGGAACGACAGAAACCTTTGACCCTTTAATTACCTTTAATTACCCAGCTGCTTCTCCATGATTCCCCTGTCGTTCGATGGTGATCGAAACAAATCAAACTTCTCAAGCCTGGAGATGGACCATCGAATGGTTAGAGAATTGTTTTTCATCCAGATGAAGTACCCACCGAAATGACTTCGAACCCAGGCGTCACGTGCCCTATGCCACCTTGGGTCACCATGCTGCGTCCTCAGACGGGTCGGACGGTGGGTGGGTCGCAACCTGCCGAAGGTCCGTGACTGGTGGAGCTCTGTTCAAACAGCCACCCTTCGTCTTGGCCTCGTGTGGTTGGGCCGAAGTAGAAGGTATTCGCCTGTACGGTGTAGGTATAACCTCGTGTTTTCGGTGTAACTGGGAGGCCTCGTGTATAGACCTTCTAAGTGCCGCCCTTTATACTTGCAAATCCAAGGTAAGCACTTGGGAAGTGTCACTGTAAGACCAGGACCTTGTAGTACTTTTCTCATGTCCCCTCCACGTCTTCCAACCACATTCTATGGTTGGTTGCAAATGTGGACATATGGGGAGGCTCACGAAATCCATGAGATTCCACTCTTGCATGACATACATTTACCATCATTTACCTAATTATTGCTATTTACTCGTCCAACCCATATGCCTGGGGGAAGTGTTCTTCTTCCCCTCATGTGATAGTCAATGGATTCCCCATGCTCAAGAGGTGTGTGATGGATCTCGCAAATAAGGTGAATGAACTCCATTCACCAAATCCCAGTAGGATCCCAGTCTACGTAGACTTGAGCAATCACTTAATGTATAGGCCTCTATTGGGACAGTGAGACAATGGGACAGTCGAACACTGCAGGGTTGATTTCGGCATTGGGCAACAACTTAATGTAATTTCTCCTCTCAAAAGCCTTTCTCAAACCTTTACCAATGCGTGACAGGTCATCGGTGAGCCTGGATCCACGCCTCCTGCACTGGAGGATCGTTTCTGGCGTGGAACTTTCCCACTGAACACTGGTGGCATTTAGACAGCATGCGGAGCCGTAGACAGTGGTTGTGTGACTGTGGCTAGAAAGGTCTTCCAATTGTGCAAGAAACTCAGGCACAATTTCTCGAACAAATACGAAATGATAGTTCCTTCAGCGACGCTCTGATAGTGCTGAGTTTATCGCCCCGGCCGCCACATTGCGTGCTCATAAAATGGCTGAAAAAATGGCTACCTGTCCTCTAAAGTTCTGCGTTTGAGGCTTCCTTGCTTCTCCGGTCTCCCTTTCGCTGCCTTTCAACACCCTTCCTCCCCTTCTCTCCCATTTCTTCGTTGCTCCTAATTTGGCACAACTCAGGGGTGCATATGGGCTCGTGCCCCTAAAATGCTGTAACTAGGAGCGTTCGGACGCTACTAGGGGCTCCTGGCCTTACTACTAGGAGCGTTCGGACGTTATCTTCCGGAGTTCACTTCATCTTCCGCCACACCACGTCGGAGGAGCGCCCCTCGTCCTCGTGCCCCTCGTCCTCGCCGGCGGACTGTCCTGCGTGGCGGCCGCGGAGAGGGATGGACTTAGCAGCCTTGGTGCAGAGGCCGCAGCCTGGGCGACCGAGATCTCGCTGACTCGTGGTTGGCGACCGGTGGAGAGATGCTGACTCAATTGATTCAATTGACTCCAGTTCGGCTCATCAAAGGGTTCAAAGTTCGGTCTCATGTGGGTTGTGCCAAGTTGACGTTGCCAAGCTGGAAGGTTCACTTGCCAGAAGGTCGAAATGCAGGACCCCCCACGGTGTTCTGAAAAGCACAGATTTGTTTGTGGAAAAGGGGATGCCAGTTGGGATGTCCCAATGATGTACTGCAAGGCTTCGGACCGGAGTTCCAGCCGGTCTTCTCTCTCTCTCTCTCTTTCTCTTTGTGTCAAAATTTGAGGGGAAACCCAATGGAACCCTCCGACGAATGGGTATTCCCAATAGCTCTAAGTGAGAACGGGCGGTTACTGATCGTCACTTTGATTCCCCAATTCCACAGTGGCACTGGATATGATCGATATATATATATATATACTTTGCACTACCGAGTTGGGACTTGTGAAATGACTTGTGCAACAAACAACCCATCTCATAATTGGCACAACTCCTAACTCATTTGGGGGTGTTGTTCAGTCAATCTTTCTTCTTTTTGAGGAAAGTTGGAAAAAACTGTTCAGAAATCCATGGAGGATTCTGCAGATTCCCCAAATCTCCCAACTATCGGCATACTTTGACATGGAAGTGGATGACATCACCCCTTCCACGGAGAACTGAGTCTGAGGGGCTTGAGAGCAGAAATAGGGTGAGACCTGACACCACGGAAGAGACAGCCCTCGGCGCTAGAGGCGACCGGCACAAGTTTCAACGCCTGATTCGACCTTTCGATGTCCTCTATCATCATCGCCCAGACAAGGAGACACCCCAATTAGATTCCCAACTGCAGAATGCAGGCCTTACGAAACCAGAATCCAACCCTGGAACCTTGGAGCCCGTGCTGTGGTGCTGTGATCAGACTCCCACCTTGGTTCCCTGGGTGCTGGCAGACTTGCTGCGATCAGACTGCCACCTTTGGCAGGCTTGCTGAAAGGTGGGCGGCGAGCCCCGGCCCTCTCGGCGAGCTCGGCCCTTTCGCTTTTCAGGCAGCCAAGCAAAGGCTTCATACTCTTCTGGGAAAATGGGCGAAACACACCACTCTGCAAGGCCTCACCAAGCGGCCTCCATCGACGATGGAGGCCTTGACAGGTGTCTGCGCAACAGAGCAGGCAGCCTTGACAGGTCTTTGCCAGCTTCAAGTTGGCGTGATCGCTTGCTTTCCCACGTGATCGCTGGGCTTAATGGCCTCGGTAAGCGCTACAGGAACACAACAAGCTGCTTCGAACACTCCGACTCTGTGACTGAGTGCTTGCTAACACGGGAGCAGGCACTGCACATCAGAACTGCAAACATGTTGTTGCTGGTCTAAAGGCGTGTTGCTAGGCACGCGGAAAATACCTGCCACACTGCTGTGCCAAAATATTGCTGCGTATCAACGGGGACATAAAGCACACCACAAGTGCAAAAGCTGTTGCCCGCAAAGAACGTCTTGCTAGGCATGCGCAACTGCCTCTCAACAACAACAGAAAGCTGCGCAAGTACAACAACTATTGCCGGTATGAAGGCACAGTACTGAGAGTATGCAGTGCTCTGGTGGCGTTGGAATGCATAAAACATGGCATTACTACACGCCAAGAACGCTCAGCACTGCAAACACCATGCGCGGAACTACTACTGCCAAGGCCTTCCCTTTCCCCGGCCAAGTCATGGTGGTCTCCTGGCCAGGATGTGCCCAGGATCTGTGGGACCTTTCACCGCCGCGCAGGTCGCGCGAGGAGCACACCCAAGAGCGTGTTCGGAGCGCCCTTTGGGCGCGGACGGAGGCGACTTCGGTCCACGGCGGTGGAACGACTGGACGACTGGGACGGAAAGAGGGGAAGAAGGACCTGAAAGAGGGTCTTCACCAAAATTTCCAACCATAAAAGGTCCAATAGGTCATAGATTCTCCTAACGCTGCTGGTTTCTAGGGTAATGTTTGCCTCACGAGCGAACCGTGGGCCTGCCAAATGAAGTGCCTCGTGTTTTTTTCTCCTGTTGAGAAGGGTGGGGGCACTGAGGAAACTGAAACTGCTCATTCGCCCAGTTGTTGGGATGGGAGTGCTGAGCCGAGACTGGCAGACTGGGCCATTCAGACCGCAACAGAGCTGTGCAAACGGTAAAGATCCAAACTGGTTGTCCTTGTTGGCATTTCTATCCATTCTCCATGCCTTGGTTCGTTTCCAAGCCTGGAACCCACCCCAAGCGCTTAAAACCACCGATGTCTCCCACAGGACTTCTAGCGCTCAGCGCGAGATATGAGATACTGTAGATCAATCTGTTGAGCAGTGGAGCCTTCTTTGGGGTTCTGTATATAGAGGCCTTATGAAGTTATGGTTTGCCCTAAGTGCCAACATGTGTTTCTTCTTTTCAGAGTTTGTTCGATGCTCAGGAGTGTGTTTCTTTGTCCTGAAAGCTCCTTCCATGTTTTTGTGCGGAGGCCAGGATGATGCGACCTATCTCCACAGGAGATTTGAGGACCTGAGCGTCGGCGCAGTACCAGCCCTCTGCTCCACAGGTCTCTTGGGAGAAATTTGGCAGACTTGACCCCATCCTCCAGCATGAAAATCTAACTTTTTCCATCTTTCTATACACCCAAAAGCATTTTGTTTGGTAGCCAAATAGCAAATTTCAGGCATCCCACCCTGGCTCATTAAGCCACCAGGTCCACTGCTGTCCTCACAGCGCATTTGTTTAGTGCTGGTAACCTGCAAAGCAGAAGGAGCTAGCCACGTTGTTTGACGGTTCTCTCACAACACTGGGTCCCCAAGCGGCCCTGTTTGTGAGCTCAAGCGCACCGTGCAGTGGCGGGTTAAAACATGCTCAGGGCTCGAATGATCTTTGCGCAACTATAGGATGAACGACATCGCGACTAAGACTAAATCAAGTAAAGACACCATGTGAACCCACAGTGAGAAGTTGAGTGCTTATGTCTCTAGCAAGAAGCTACTAGTTACTTGTAGCAAGGTGCCTTACTAGTAGTGTGAGCAACGTCCAAGATGTTCAGAACCGGGGCTTCTTTCGGGTGGGGCACCCACGCACCGGTCTGAACACGAAAGACCGGCGGTGCGAACGCTGAGACGACGATGTGATGGTCCTGATGCCAAGGTGTTTCCGCCCATGTCCTCCACTCATTGGGTTGATGGGTTACTGGGCGCTGAGTCACCCTCATTGTCATTGGCCGCCAGCTGAGGAGTAGCCGGAGCAGCAGGAGTCGAGAGAGGAGTCAACATGCACCATGGAAGCAGCCAATGGAGCACCATTGAAGCTGCTCAGATGAAGTCCACGCAACATCTGCAGTCCACACACACTTTTCAACAAACAAGACACTTCCCCTTTGAAAGGTGTTGGTGCAAGACGGCAAATGAATTTATACGTCTAAAACGTGAGCCCTAAGGTGATTGTCCATGTAGCATGGCGTCCCACGCAACACATGGAGCTGGATTCACTGTGGAGGCCACGAAGAAAGGCCAGTGTGGACAGACTGCAGCGGACAGACTGGGCATCAGACTGGGCATCTATAGGGATCACCTTTATGCGACCAAAGCCTTTGGTATTGTTTCTTGAAGGAGTTGATGCCCCGGGGGGACACTGGGGCACCCACTGATCGCATGATGCAGTGTGGGGTAGAGTCTGATTTTCATTTTTCCAGAAGACAACTAGGGACTAGGCATCCATGATGTATTGGCTAGAAAAAGCGGGAATAGGAGGCTTCCCAATACTTCGGAAATTCGAAGGTTGTATTCATGATTCTGGAGGTGTCAGCATTGTTGCAAAGAACCAGCCTCGCTTTCCCCGCTCCGCCAGGGGCCCTGCCGATCAAAGTGGAATCGCGGGCGAAGGGGAAGAAGGTGGGTACCTTGTGGGCGAAGCGGAGTGGATCGGTCTTTTTTTGTATCAAAAAGGATCCTTCAAGAAGACTCACTTTGTTCTGAATGGGGAGCAGACAGGGGTTCACCACCTTGTGTCCCATCAAGCTATCTATCAAATTACTTGGTGATTTGGGGCCATTCCATTAATTAGTAACTGTTACGCCATCAGTCATCACCACTTTGACCAGAAACAAGCTTGCTGCAGGGCCTTGTGACTCTTTCCATGTTCCAAGTTATTTCACAACAGCAACAAGGCTCTGTTTTTGGGGAGGGCTTTCCACCACCCTGAACGAGCTGCTCCCTGTGCCGAACCAACAAGGCAACGAGCTGCTCCTTGTCTCGGCTCGTCTCGGCCAGGTGACCATCATCTCAGGTGTGCGTGGCAATGCGCAGTGCCTTGGAGATTCGGTCGGCGGTGCGATCGACTCGTTTTTCTTCGGTGACCGGTGGTGAGAGATGAAGATGCGGAGAGATCCGGAGAGAAAGGACCTGAGAGATCCGGAGAGAACTACGCACGTTCCTGAGTTCACCCAAGAAGATGATGGGATATCGTCACCTCACAAATCTGGAGCCCGTCCGCGCCATTTTGGAGCGACTCATTGCGCAATGGTTGTTCTTCACTGGTGAAGAATGACCTAGCTGCCTAGCTGGGTGGGAAGAAGACAAGTTCACCCAGCTGGGTGGCTGTAAGAGATCCTGCGTGCTTTTCTCAACTCATTGTCAGAGGGTACGACGTACCTTTTTTTGGCAAAAGCTGATCACATCCGAGGCAACCATCGAATTCAGGAACACCTTGGGACATCAAGAAATGTAGAATCTTGATGTGTAAATCGCCCTAATCATTGGGATTGCGGGTTGTTGTCTGCGCGTCATCGGTCCTAAGCCGGGCCACCGGTGTGGGTGGTCCGGCTTGGCCGTTTGGGTGGAGACTGGAGACAGGTGGAGACAGGTGGAGACAGGTGGAGACAGATGGAGACAGGTGGAGACAGGTGGAGACAGGTGGAGACCGGAGACAGGTTTTCTCTTGTATCAATGGTTTTTAACTCGGGAGAGATGCAGATTGGATGGAGGGATTCCTCAGACCTCTGAGCCTTTTCACCCAATGCAATCCTTGAGGGAAGAACATGCAGGGTATGGCATAGGCATAGGGGTCAAAGATTTATCCTCTTGGATCCTTTTGGCACGTGCTTTTTGGATCCTTTTTGGAACGCCGCAAAGGAGGAACCCAGAAAAAACCATCCCACTTTTGAGAAACACCTTGTGATCTTATGGTTTTCTGATTTTCTATGGTTTTCTCCTGTTTTCTCATCAAAATCCGGTCCGACCGCCACTCCTTCAGGTTATTGTGCTCGACTCTCAGCACCCTTCTTGGGATTGGTGGCACCGTTCACAACGAAGCCGGACAGCAAGTCATCCAAGTCCAAGGCACTTGGGCCGCGCAAACTGGTTGTCGTTCGTCTGTTTCGCATCAGACGCCGTCATACGCCATCACAGGCCGGAACCTGACCACACTAATTCCGGACTCTTGGGCAGGTTGGCCAAAGCAGTCTCTTGAACTACCCGGTGTGCAGGTCGGCGGAGTTCGGTCCCACCATTTAGAGGTTGGATGCCCTCCGACATGAGACGACCCAACTTTCAAAGACCCCGGAGAAATATGAACAGATGAGAGCACCCACCAGAAAAAGCCTCCTGCCGGGATTGGTCGTCCGTGAAGCAAGAAACAAGGCAAAGGGGCAAAGGGGGCAGCACTTGTAGGGGAGTGAACATGGGTGGTGCAGGGTTTCTTTCATCAACTGAACAGTTAACAGAACAATCGAGATGAATCCCCAGATGGGTGTTTGCCATCCTTGCCGATTGATGAGCGAAGCTCCTGAAAGAGTGATGTGACAATCTGTGCAACAGTTTCTTGAAGAACATCTTTTCGGTCAACGAATGGGGATGGGCTGTTGCTGCTGTGGTTGGGTCTCATTCCTCCTCTTGGGTGAACGTACGCAGCTCTTGAAGCTTTACTGGAAACGAGAAGGCTTTTTCAAGGGATGCACTGTTTTGTTCGCGTGAAAAGGAGAGGAAGAATCAGAGCAGGCGCTTTCAAGCGAGAAACTGGTCCTTTGGATCAGACCGGGCTCTGAGATCGTTCCCACAACGATTTGGAAGACGTGAGATGAACAAAACCCTACACAGCCACCAGGTCCCATTTGTGGTCACCAAAAAGGTGAAGCTTCCGTGAGGTAGTCAGGCTGACCGCGTTGCAGAAGCACTGGGTAAATTGAATTGCTTGAAAGGCAGGGACCAATGACTGGGGGAAGGTCGCCATGCAGGGCAGCTAAAGACATGACCTGTGAAAAGGGCATGAACACGGTGAGGATTAGTTCTCCAGTTGCAACAAACAACAGTTGGTAGTGGGCAACAACTGCTGGACAAAGCAAGTCTTTGAGACGAAGAATTCTGGAGGGTCAACCAACCCTGCAGTCAGGTTGGTATTTCTTGGGGGCTGCACCTTAGGAGTTTGTGAGCTTGCTAAGTCTATCCAAGTCTGTTTTTTGGTGCAGCCGTGTCATGTCCGAGTCATGAGGAGCAGCCGAGTCATGACCATACCTCATATCCTCATTTGCCCGTTTGCTTGGAACCCCGGCAAACACTGTTTGATCGTTGCCTGCAAAGATTCTTGGCACATGCTTGGACTCCTCCCATTCTTTGGGTGACTGGTGTCACAACCCTTCTTTGAACCGGCACAAAACACGGGCCACTTGCACAGAGCAGCGCTTCGCTGAGGGACGGCTTTTCATCGGTCAGAGTTGGACATGCGAAGACGGTCAACGAATGAAGACGGTCGCAAAAACGATGGACGGATCGATGTATCACCTGGATCGATACATGTGGATTTCGGAATGCACCCACGTGGAAACGAATTCGGTTCCGTTGTTCCGGATTCCCTTTTGGACCCGAACAGATCCCCAAAGCCCAATTCGTGAGCCCATTGGGCCAGGCTTTGGGATCTCGGGCAAAACGGTCACCACCTCCACAAGTCCTGGAAAACACGCCATTTTCGACGGTGAACAAAGGTCTTTCGGAAGATCGCTCGGGCGCGTCGAAGTGACGAACATCAAAGAGCTGCAGGTCCGTCTGCAGGTCCATGGATTTTGAGCCACATCCACTGCTGGGTCCAGGTGCTCTTGTGGGTGTGTATTTTTGATAGGGAGACTTCCTGGCATTGGTCTATATATTTCCCTTCTTCCAGGGATCCAAAGGGGGTCGGTCGCCCTATTTTATGGAGCTTTTGGCAGATGGGCCCCATGACCGAGCTTCGGCGTCAGCCCTCCCTGAAGACCACTGGAAGTGGCAGTCTCAATACACACCCATCAGGGGCACCCTCCAACAGGTGATTTGTGGACACCCCGAAGCACCTCTAAGAGATTAAACGACTACTTTTTAGACCCCTTGGAGTTTGGAGGGTCAAGCAATCTCCACGTGGGCGAGGCGTGAAAGTCGATCAGCCGAAGAAGCCAGCGAAACAAGCTGAGGCCGGGGATGGCGAGGGATGGCGCGGGGCAGGTGGATGAGATGATTCTGGGTGCTGCCTCGAACGTGAGTGCAAAGACGTTGGTGGTGGCTTTTTGAAAAGCACAATCCGCATCTGCTGGTATTCCGCTGGCATTCTTGGGAGGCTCCAAGAAACGATGGGGAAGGTCCAAGAGCCGTGGAATGACCGGACTTCTTAGGCTTTTTGCATCTGAGGGTGTGGTGGGTAGGGGTCCAGATGCGGATGCGACTGGGACGCTAGATTGACCCGGAGCGTGGCTGGACTTTTTGGGGGGTGGAAAAGCAGGTCATGATGGTTTACAGTATATAAACTACATACACTGCGGGTTGCTATTGTTTCTTTTGCCTCCTATTTTGCAGAGATCACGCATAGACATAACATAGACCGGCAAATGCTTGGGTTCCATTTTTGCAGTCACTCATCAGATCGCCTCACTTGCACCCTTTTTTTTCTGAACTGCTGACAGGTTGCCACACGACACTGTGGCTATGACAAGTTTCTTCGACAAGAGACTTGGGACGAGAACCAGTCCTCTAGGGATCCACAGAGACAAAGGTATATGAAAGGGAGACCCTGTTAATTTTTGTTTTCCATGTGTTGAACAACATTTTTTAAACTTGTTTGTACGTTTACAGATGTTTACAATTGTAAGGGATCCGCCCCCTGCCGCCAACCCCTGAGCCCGGAGGCTTGGTAGCGGGGGAGCAAAAGAACAGCCAAAGGAATGAAACAGAAGCAGTCGGAAGCAAATAAGACAAGGACACCTGCTGAAGAAGCAGGATGCGCTGCAGAAGCGCTGTTTTTGTTTTATTTGCTTCGGACTCGCACTGGCTCCAAGTAGTGGTCGGCGGCACGGGGAGGGAAAGGAACAGGAAACAAAGAGGAACCAAAAGGAAATGAACAGGAACGAAAAGAGGAAAGGGAAACGAAAGCGGGGCAAGAGGAAAGGAACACCAAAAGGGAAGGAGAAGGAAGTGAACAGGAAACAAAAGGAAGTACCCGGAATTCCGGAGAAGATGAAGAGGGACGGAAGGGAAACGAAAAGGAGTCAAAAAGAAAGCATCCGGAGACGAAAGATACGAAAGGATGTCAAAAGGAAGCAAAAGGTAAGGATATGAGAAGGAAACCAACGGAAACAAAAGGAAAGGAGCAGGAGGCAAAGATAAGCAAAAGGAAGGCAAAAGGAATGAAGCAGAAGCAGTCTGAAGCAGTCTGAAGACAAAGACACAGACGCAGTCTGAAGCAGGATGCGCTGCGCTTCAGCGCGGTCGTCTGTTCTCACTTGCTTCGGAAGAAGCGCGGTCGGCGGCACATACCTTCTTCGATTGGTGCCAGGCTCGCGGGGTGTGGTGGGAGGCCACGCTACTGGGGGCTCCTGGCCGTACTAATTACTAGGAGCACGAACTTTCCGAGTTGGTGAAAGGTGAGCTTTGGCTTGGTCAAGGAGAGAAACCACGCAGATGGTGCAGGAGGATCAGCGAACGCAGCTTTTTGGCTGTATTTGAGTGGGAGTTAGAGCGAAGCGTCTGGGTCGTGCCAGGAAAGCTTTCCAACAGCAGTACTACGTACTACATAACGGAAAGTTCCGTCTTCCTATTGGTTCCGCTTGATGGTCTTTCGATTCCTTCGATTTGCGTGATGACTGTGGTGAAGGAAGGTCAGAAGGTTTTCAGAGTTGATGAAAGTGAGCTTTGGCTTGGTCAAGGAGGCAAACCGCGCAGACGGCGCAGGAGGATCTGCGAACGCAGCTCTTGGCTGTCTTTGATTGGGGGTTGGAGCGACGCATTTGGTTCGTGTCAGGAAAGCTTTCCAACAGCAGTACTATGTAGTACATCACGGAAAGGAAAGTTCCCTTAGACGCTTGATGGTCTTTCGATGCCTGTGATTTCCGTGTACGGAGGCCCAAGAAGGTGGAGCGGTCCCAATCATCAGGATTTCGTTGCAGTTAGTCGGACTTCTTCCACCAGGTCCTTTGGAATGCGTGCCCTAGATGGTGCCACACCCCCGACAGTCATCTCATCAACATCCGAAACCGAAACCTTCCCTTCTTTTCACATATGAGTCCACTGGGCACGATCGATTGCCGCCTGTCGCCTCAGAGCACCGTGCGGCGTTTCTGCATCTCCGCGTCGTGGATGCAATGAGTCTGTCGGAGCCCTCGATTCCACGAACTTGAACGCTCCCTCTAACTCCACGTCTGAATTATCTTCACGAATATTCGCACCAACATCCTTGCCCACGTGTTCATTTACCCAGCTCCCATGCCAAAACCAGTTCCATCCAAGCAGCTCCCTTTGAAGCTCCTCGAGCTTCCGCTGGACAGCCAATGCGCGAGGAGCAAAAAGCTCGAAGAAGAAAAGAAGAGGGCCCGCAGCGTCAGAAGGTCTCTCCGTTGCGCAACGAATTGGATTGGACGGGCTTCACCCACCGGCCCTTCGCAACGCACACGGTCTCTTCGGTCATGAGGATGATGTGGTGGCGATGGTGCAGGAGATGCCGTGATGATGTGGGCGCGGGGAGGGTTTGGGTCACCAGAACCCCGATCACTTCTGAGGGATGAATCATAACTTGCTTTTATATAGTGGTATTTTTGTATTTTTTTTTGGCCGTTTTTCCCTCAAAACTAAAAAAGTCAATTTGGATGCAAAATCAATTTTCAATTCTCGTTTACCTTTGAAGAAATGTGTTCATGTCATGCTTCACCTAAGCAGCAGCGCACAGAGGCAAATCAAGTAACGCACGCTAGATATTAATAATCTATCATTCACTGCACCGTTTTTGGAATGTGGTTGCTGTTTCAAAGCTCTAACTTTTCAATGAGCACCTCAAACTCGTTTGAGCCTTCCACATTCCTCGTCTACGCACAAGAAAATTATTTTTCACATTTGTGAAGATATTTGGCTTGCTCGTTGCTCCTTTGGGCCATTAATCTCACCTAGTGTAACTTCAGGGTGCGTCGCCCCAGGTGCCCAGGCCTTTGGCTGCTTCGGCCAAGGCCTGTGCACTTGTCATGACGCTATGTGAGAAGGATTCTGCATACAAGAAATGGAAGCGCTTATGCGACAAGTGGACTCATGAGTTTCTGTTTTGAGCCCACATGATCCTGAAGGTGGGTCATGGCTGTCAGACCAAGAGCAACCGTGGGGCATTGGTTGCAAAGCATGCAGCTTCAGCAAATGCAGCAGTAAGTTCGCTATGTATGCTGTCAGAGAGGCAGGCTCCCTGCAGCATGAGAACTTAAAAAAACATGCGCGTACCAAGGCTCGCAAACTCTCAATGGGTGGCACTACGCTTGGCTGCTTGGCTTCCTGGCTGATGCGGCCAGAAGCTATTTTGGCAGCGAGTCGACTAAGGTCAGCTTCCTGGCTGATGCGGCCAGAAGCTTTTTTAGCAGTGAGTCAACTAAGGTCAGCTATGGGGAAAACAATCCAAGTTTTGCACCAAAGCCCTGGTTTTCCTAACTTCAGTCAAGTCGTCATCCATGTCCAGCTCGGTATAGTGTTTGCTTTCAGCTTGGGGCTCAAATTTGAGGCTAAGTAGTTAACACTTAAAAGAGTTCAATGGCTAGCTCCTTTGCAGCGCTCATGCCTGTGACAAGTCGCGCTGAGAAAAGTTCACACGAAGAAACTCAGTTTCTGCACTTTGCAACCATGGAGCCGTCAGAGATTGCTTCTGGCTTTTCCTTTGTTCCAAGTCCTTGACCGGGTGGAACGCACAAGAAATGCCCTACTCTGGACTTGGCAACAATTGCCTGAAGAAGCAGCGGATGCGTTGGAAGACATTGTTTTTGCTTTGGATATTTGCACCACAATCGCGTTGTCCGACCTTCACTCGCGACCAAAGCACAGAATCATGACTGCTCTTCCTGCGCGTGCGCCAGGCAAGACACTGGCATTGAATAACTATGTCAAAAATGACTTTTGGCACGCTACTGAAGTGATGGCAGCATTGTCACAAAGTCGGGCGACTCACGACCGCTTCGACTGGGACACTATGTTGGAGACTTGGTTTGGGGATTTTGCCTTTGCAGTGCAGATCGCACCTGACTCCCTTTATTTGAAGACTGGCAGCTTCAAAAGTGGGATCGTGTGGCCTAAGGCTGCAGCACGCCTTTCCAAAAAGAGCAGGCTGGGCTAACTTCGTCGCAGCAGCCGTTACTTCCATTGGCTGCTTCGGCCAAGGTTGCAGGGTTTGTTGTAGGCTTGAGGTTAAGTCACTGGCTGCTTCGGCCGGGGCTTGCTAATTAAAAAATCTTAGAAAGTTGGAAGCGGGCAAGGCGCGAGCTGACTTCTCAGCTCGAAGGTGAAAAAATCGACGACAGTGCTTGAAAGGAGAGGGCGGTTTGACCTCTCCACCCGAGCTTCGGGAACGTTCTTGAACCTCGAAAGGAGAGGGTTTTGAGAGGGCGAAACAAAAATACCACTATATAATATAGTTTTGCCCATAGTTGTCCCCTCACTGCCCTCTCCACCCGAGGCTCGGGAACGTTCTTGAACCTCGAAAGAAGAGGGCGATTTGCCCTCTCTTCTCAGACTTCAAATTGCTCGTTTGCAGCCGTTTTTTCACTCAAGTGAAGCAAGTTTGAAAGCTTTAGCTGCTTCGGCTAAGCTACTCCACAACGGCCAAGACTCCATTATGTTGGCAGCTCAACAGGTGACCTCATTCAGGGCGTGGCCCTTCCTAAGCTCACTGATGAATGGAGCATGAAGTGGTCGGAGAAAAAGGATCTGTATGGCAAGCGCCACTTGATCGCGGTGGGCGGGCGCACAGAAGGTGGAGAGGATGAGCCAAAAATCAACGACCGAACCAAAGATTTGCCCGAGCCTGTTTGCTACTTCTCGCCACCGCTTGAGCTGATGGAGGAGCTCCTGCACACCTTCTATGCCAAGCTGGTGCTGGACTTGAGCCCAGCTGATGGAAAGTTGGCGTGGGCATGCGTCAAGACTAGGACTGCGTACATGGGCATCTGCTACATTGACACCCATGTCAAGCGGATGGAAGAACGGCTCCTGGACCTAATGAAGGTGAGCGTGAAGGAGACTGCCTCGCCATTGTTCAACAGTGCCTATGCGCAAGCTGTGGGGTCAACGACTTCTTCATCGCAGCCAGCGATCCCGAAGCGCAAGCCACGCCCCAAGCCAAAGGTAAAGTCGGCTCCCAAGCCAAAGCCAGCTCCCAAGCCTAAGGGAAAACCAAAGGCGGAGGCAAAGTCAGAGCCCAAGTCGAAAAAGCCGCGTCTCGAGGCAGAGCAGGCAGATGACGACGACAATGAAGAGGAGGAAGAGGCATTCGAGGAGGATGTTTGGGATCCTTTGGACGAGGGGTGAGTGGCCTTTGGCTGCTTCGGCCAGGGCCAACACCGTCTGCTGGCTGCTTCGGCCAGCGTTTTTTGAAACTTGCTGGCGCGGAAAAATTATTAGGTGTCTGGGTCTGGGTTGATAATTGAGGTCAGTCATGTGTGCTTAAGTTCGCAAGTTGCAAGTAAAGGATAATTGAATGGTTTGGCCC